CAAACTAAAAAAAAAAAAAAAAAAAAAAAAAAACAGACCAAAACAACATAACTTATTCAATATTTTAATATATAGGTGCATGAGCAGGTGCAGGACAGTGAAACTAAAATGACATTTTTATAACAATTTATAATAACAGAAAATAAAAACAAAAAATTCTCTGAACCCAAAGCATCCAGGAAGTGACATTCAATCTCCATTTCCTCGAAAACCCAGAAATTGAAGGAGAAAAATTAAGAATTAGCAACAAAAAGTAAGAAGCCCAGAAATGGGGGCTGAAGAAAATTGCAAAGGGAAAAGGGACTGACGAAGACGGAAGTAGCGGAGAGCTTAGAGATGAGTTCGGGAACACCGAAGCCGCGAGGAGCAGAGCCTGCAATGTCGAAGGCCAAAGTGAAGGGAGACAAGACAACCTTAATTGGGAAGTCGAAGATGTCGATGATGTTTTGCCCATAACGGTTGCTGAAGACCTTGTATCGAACCTCCACGAACTGCTTCACCGCTTTCACCAAACGCTCTCGAGAACTCGTCATCACTGACAGAGCGAAGAAGAGGATAACAGATAGAGTTTAGTTGCTCTTGCGCTTGCAACCAAGGTTTTAAGTCCCCAAGATAAAGTAAACCATCACTGTATCCATATACAATGGGGTTTTTCTTTTTACCACACAAACTTACGTTATTATTATTTTAATTTTAACAAAATATTTTGACAAGAAAAAAAGGTAATTATATACGATATTAAATATAATCTCAATAATTTTTATATTTAAATAATAAAACTTTTCAATACTAGGAAAAAAAAGTATTTATTATTAGAATAGATGTAATAACATCTTTTTAAGCATATTTTAAAAAAATAATGAAAAATCTTTATAATGATGAATAGGATTTTTAAAGGTATAAGTTTTTAGTTTTAAATCCATTTTTTTTTATTTTGCAAATGTTTAATTTTGGTTTCTTTTAAAAAAAATATTGCAAATTTAGTTTTCATGCAATGAACCATTAAGTCACTACACTTAATGAATCACTACTAAGATTTACATACTTATAATATTTTAATAGCTTAAATATATTTTTAGCCCCTCAAATTTAAGATAAATTTGTTTTTTATCTCTTAAATTTGAAATTGTTATTTTTAGTCCCTATAATTTTTAAAAATATTATTTTAGTCCTTCAGATCACCAATAACATATATAAAGTGATAAATTAAGACAGTTATGCAATATCAATTAGATTTAATGTGATGCTTTCACTAACAAGAACACTAATAGATAAATTTTATGCAATAATATTTAATAAATTTCTTAACAAAATTTGAATATAAATACTAAAATAAGATTTTTGAAATTACAATGATTAAAAACAACAATTTTAAATTTGAGAGATCAAAAACAATTTTACCCTAAATTGGATAGACTAAAAACATATTTAAATCTATCTTAATATATGTCATATTATATATATATAT